TATTTATGAAGAATGGAGCAGAAAAAGAAGCTAGAACTGAGGACACAGATAGCTCATTGCCTAATGGAACACACACTGTATGAAGGAGGTAGAATAAATTAACAGAACATTCAAGAATTTTTTGAAAATATTTTAAGAGAATGATAACTTTTTTCATGTCAAGATAAACTAGAAATTAATTTTAAAGGTTGAATATTAACAATAAAATGAATAAATGTTATATAAATTTATAAATTTTATCTAAGTAAACAAAGAAAATGATATCCAAATTTTGCAAACAATTAAAAGAAAACACAAATGTTGTCACTATGAAATAATATAACTTTTTGTCTATTGAAAAATCTCTGTCATAAAACTGGATGTTGTGGTACACACCTGTAGCATGAGTGCCTAAAAGCTATGGAAGGAGGGTTGCTAGTTTGAGTAAAGCCTACATGAATGAGTAAAAACTTTTATGAAACTGTGAATGTTTTAGAGATCCAGCTCAGAGGAATGGAGAAACAATTGCATCATAAATATATTAAAATGCAAATAGGTAGTTAAAAAAGAAGCCATTAGCTTAACTATATTATTCAACACAGCTATAAACTCGATTGTGTTGTTGCAAAGAATTTCAATAAGAAAAATATAAACATCATGCAAATTAATGTAATAGATTTAAATGGTATATTTAAGAAATTGATAGCCACTTTTTACATGTAAAACTTAATGAAAGTGCTTAATATTTTAAAGAAATCTGTAGCCCTTAATATAAATACTGTCAATTTAATTTTCACTTTGATATACATTCAAAAATATAGCATCCCCAACCTTTATATCCACACTGATAAGAATTTTTGTAGGGGCAAAAATTTCAGTCACATGGAGCCATTTCTGCAGCTGTGGGAATGTCAGGCATTACTTCAGACTCCTGCTGGCATATGGGAAACAAAGAAGAATTTGTTAGAATCAGAAAGAAGCATCTGGACCTGCTGACACCTGAAGTGATGATGATATGGTACTTCTTACTTACTATACTAAATGGGCAGGTCCTGGAAAGCTTCTAGAAGTTAAAGGTTTTAGAAAAACCCATGAAAATTAAAGAGTAAGAATTGAAAAGTCAAAACTGGACTGTGAGCATTTCAAAGCCTACCTGGAAATCTTGAATGATGGCAGTGGAAGAGAGGACAGGTTGGACACAGTCATCTCTTAATTATGTGAAACTGAAGCCCCTTCTTTCGGACAAACTAAAAAAAAAAAAATTAAATGTTTTTTTTTTCCTCCCAATTCTCATAGTAGATCTTGCTGAAAGCAGCAAGCAGAACCCATGCTACAGCCTGATACAGAGCTGCCATGAAATTTCCTCTAGCAGATTAATGTGTTTGCTGCAAAATCTAAGGACATGAGTCTAATGTAGGCAGATATTTTTTGACATAGCTAACATACATTGTCTTGAGTTCAGCTGACAATTGAGTTTTTATTCCCTGAATCTACTCTTTATTGGCCTATTCTTTACTGTCTGCATTCTGGTCTTTATTGCTCTGATCAGAACCTCCCATCAAGGTCACCTGACAGTATATAGGAGTTTCTCTGTATCTGAAACCTCCAAGTCTTTCTAGCTTCCTCCCAAAATCAGTTCCAAAGAATTCTAAATCATATAGTCAAGCAGTAACGGCAACAACACCACTCCTGGAATCAATATATGTGTCAGGCTTTCTAGAGGAAGAGCTTCAATATAAAAATATAGGTAGAATAGTACAAGGGATTTATTAGGTAGCTCAAAGGATCATAGGGAGAAGAATCTCAGTGTTTATATATCACAGTTTGCAGAATCCAAAATGTTCATCGCCTCACTAGAGAACTGTAGGTTCTTATAGCAGTCAAGGGATAATACCCTGGAAGTCGCCATTGTGAGTCTGTGCCAGAAATACAAAGCGTGCATTGAAAGGTTGCAGACTAAGGTAGAAGTAATGGTAACAGAACTGGAGATCAATGTCCAAAGACAATAGTAAAGACTGAAGTTCCTCAAAAAAAAAAGATATTTCTTTTCATTCCTTTTTTATTCTGCCCAGCTACAAGGCCATTAACTGATGCCACATCCAATGGTGGATCGCATTACCCCTCATGGGTTTCTTGTCCTCATTTTAGGAGTACAAAGAGTGAATGTTGGAATTTTCCAATCTGGTTTTTAAATAGTTTTTAAATAATTCAGTCCCATATATCTTTAGCATTTAGTCTCTGACATCTTACCAAGCTCTAGGAAACCACCGATATACTTATAGCCTCTACACTTAACTTTTCCATACGTTTATAGAAACAGAATCATGCATCAGCATCAGCCAAGATTTTATTAGAGAATAACACAAAATATACAAATGCATAAGAAATTATGAGATTGGCTTAAGATAGTCCGCCAGAGTTGAATGAGGAACTGTGTATAGGGTGTCTGTACACTAAAGCCCAAAGGATTTAGTCCAAAGTCTGGAGTTCACTGCATTGTTCCATGCAAGTCTGTATCAGGAGGCTGATGGACTGATGATGGAAATCAGCTGAAGAGTTAGTACTTGAACCCAGGAGGCAAAATCCAAGCCGAAGATGAGAATTTGAGTGGGTTTACAGAATAGAATGCTGTCTTGCTTTCCTCATTCCCCTCTTACATCATCCAGGTAATGAGCCACATGAGGGTTTGTTCACTACAGCTTATGGTGTAGAATGGCTCAGCTGATTTATTTAACGTCTCAAGTCAACACAATCAATCAACCAACTGCATACAATATGTAGTCTTTTATATCTACAATAGTGTTTGTTGCTTTTCTTGTATCTGAGACAGCATTTTTCCAAATAGCTCAAAATATAATAGCAATAATAATAAAATTTTCAGAATTATTTAATCATTGGAGAGTTACAATTTATATAGTCATAATTATATGCCAAATAGTACTCCACCAAGTCTAACTTAATCTTCATAACAATAGTTGGAAACAGGTCTTTTATTATTGTCAACTTATATATTATAACACTGCAGACTTAAGTCAGTATTTCTCTGTAGCATGCTGACATTTATGCAAACATGTGGGCTGACTGAATTCTAATTTTTAAACTCTGACAATTGATTCATACTGTTATATATTCCCACCAATACAGGAAAAATATCTCTATGTAAAAATGGCTCTAATCTCTATGTACATCACAAGTCAGCAAAATGTGTGCATGCATTATAAAAACCAAATGAAATTCATCTAATATTCTAGGATTAAGAGATTTTAAAAACATTTTGCCTATTTATAGTATATTGACTTTAATTAATATAAAAGTCATCAGTTTTTAACTGATACACAAATGGTACAAGTTATATTTATTAATGAGATACAATACAATGATTTAGTACATTCATGTAGCATAATATTTTCATCAGTTTGACCATATTGATCTCCTCAACATTCATCATTCCTTCACAGAAGAGTCTCTTAAAATCCTTTCTTTGTTTTGAAATCTATATGCATGTATTTTGTTCCCTATGATCACTCTACTGTACAATAGCCCACCAGAGATCTGGCTCCTGTCTACCGATAGCTCAGTATCCTATTCAGATTCCTCAGTCCCTCTCCTGATACCCCAAATTGCTTCCATTATCCTTCTTTTATTTTCCACTCTTATAGCATAAAACTGAAAAATGACTTCCTTTACTGCTAAGAAGTAATCAGTTAGAATATTAAATTATGTTTGAAAAACAGAAAATCTATTAGCTAATTTCTAGTATGCACAATATTCCTAAAAAACACATCACACATAATCAATATGTTATTTTCGAGCTTCAAAAGGGAACTCCAGCCTTTTTATATGTATTTAGTTCTAAAGAGCATTTAAAATAAAATAATACTTACACAGAATATGTACATTCCCAAGAAAGTGAAGTACATTCTGCCCTCAATTAAAATTAATCCCTTTCTACTGATACATAAATACATTAAAATGCTACATATTTCTGCTGTACTATAAGTTGTTATTGTATGTGTATAAATTGTATATGTTTAAGTCAGATACAAGTGGCCAGTTCAGCAGACTAGGGCCCCTATAGTCTAGTAAATGGACAGAATTTTGATCCCTGGCACCACATGCCATACCAGCCCTGCCCCTGGGAAAGCTGAGCTGGCCACCATGACTTGGGTCAGATGGAATATGCCTATAATCTGAACACTGGGGATTTAGAAAATAGGAGAATGACTCTGACTATGAGCTGTGGAATGAGACCCTGTAACAAACAAATATATCAAAGAAAAAAGAAACAGATACAGTTGACAAAGATATAAAGGCTTAATAATTATTTAAACATTTCCAGACAGGTTTAGAAAAATGTAAAAGCAACTGAGTGGTTCTATTGACTTTAATTATTTTACCATGCCCTTCCTAATGTTGTCCCAATTTGAAATTGAGATTTTCATAATTGTCTTATTATTCAAACTTAAACCACTAGAAATTATTCCCATTGAAATATACACACAAATACACATACAAGCACACACATACACACACACTGGCACATATATAATAGAAATACTTCCAGAGAAGTGAAGAGATCACATGCTGAAAAATAAATAAACTACCATTAACTGAGACACTAGGCAAAACTGTCTGTGTATTAGTTCATCTAAAAGTTTTACATGTCTCGAGATTCCTTTTCAAAAGGCAGCTAAGCCTTTCCTAGGCCATATGCTTCAACTATTTTCCCAGGTTATAATTTGGTCCAGTATTGTCTAAAACCTGTAGAGTCACTTGTGATAACACCAGAAGCTCTCTGTGAAGTAATATTATCTACAGAAATAGTAATATTTAAAGACAGTGAATATTAATGTTAAAATAGTATGACCCATGCCTTATAAAATGTAAAGAGAAGTTGACATTTAATGTATCTGTACTTCTATAATAAAAGACACATTCTCTACCATATTCATTTTGCTATGACTTTTGGACTCATAGGATAAATCTTTTAAGATTGAACAGGAATTCATTTTTGAGATCTACTAGAGAGTTTGGTTTACTTGAACCATACATTTTCCCAAGACCCTCCTCAGAGCCCCCAAGACCTCCTTATTCCTCAGGCTGTAAATGAGAGGGTTCAAGGCTGGGGTGAAAATTGTGTAGAAGGCGGAGGTGATATTGTCTTGTTCGGGATTGTGGAAGGAACTGGGTAGGACATATATTATAGTAGCTGCCCCATAATACATACCTACCACAGTCAGATGGGAGGAGCAGGTAAGAAGTGCTTTCTTCCTCCCCTCCTTTGAGGGCATATGGAGCACAGTGAAAAGAATTAATGTGTAGGAGGCAACAATGGCAACAAGAGGGGGAATCAGTAAGCCCGCACCCATTGCATAAACCATGAGTTCATATATGGAGGTGTCTGCACAGGCAAGCTTCAGCAAAGGAAAAATTTCACAGAATAAGTGTCTGACCTTGCGGGATTTGCAGAAGGGATAGTGCATGGTATAGATGGTGTAGCCGAGAGCACTCAGGAATGCTGGGATCCACGATGAGGCCACCATCAACCAGCAGGCTCTTGGACTCATGAAAACCATATAGTTCAGAGGATGACAAATGGCCACATACCTGTCATATGCCATGAAGGCCAGTAGAAGGTCCTCTGCACTACCGAGGAACAGCTCTGAGAACATCTGTAGGGCACAGCCTCCAAAAGATATTCTATTTTCTTTCTGTGGATACTCCATGAGGGCCTTTGGAGTGACAACCGATGTAAGTAAAAGATCCATGAGTGAGAGCTGCCCAAGCATGAGATACATGGGCACATGGAGTCGCACATCCATTGTGATGAGCAGGAGGAGCAGGCCATTGCTGATCATGCCCAACATGTACAGGGCTGCGAGTGTGGCACGGAGCAGTTCAGGAGAGCCACTGTCACTCAGAAGCCCCACCAAGATGAAGCCACTTCCTAAGGTAGAGTTCCAGGGCTCCATTTCCGGTGGTTTCGATAGTTGGCTAAAATCAGATGTACTGTCAGTAGATATTGCTAAAACAGAAGCTCATTTTGTAACATCAGAAGCTCCTCACAGGACCCAGGGGGATGGTTCAGTGTTTTAAACACCTGCCTGGCAATTTCAGAGTACTGACTTCAATCCCTACCAAAAAAAAAAAAAAA